AGGGGGCCCCCTCCAGGGGCCCCCCTCCCAGGGGGGGCCCCCCCTGGGGCCCCCTTCCCAAGGGGGGCCCCCCCAGGGGCCCCCTTCCCAAGGGGGGCCCCCCCAGGGGCCCCCTTCTCATGGGGGGCCCCCCCAGGGGCCCCCCGGTGCTTCTTCTCTTCCCTGGGGAGCTCCCCCCAGTACGCACTCCCTGCAACAGCAGCAGCAGCAGCAGCAGCAACAGCAACAGCAGCAGCTGCAGCAGGCAGCAAAGGGAGGAGCTGTTGCATCTGGGGGGGCTTCTGTATTTCCCTCTGCTGCTGGCAGCAGCAGCAGCTCTGATACGCATGCAGGGGGGCCCCCTAGGGGCCCCCAAGGAGTTATAAGCGGTATGTCTTCTCGTTCTTCGTCTGTTGCTTCTATTAGCGGGCTGTCTATGAATTTAGGGGCCCCCCAGGGGCCCCCATTGACGCCAGGAGCTGCATCTGCTGCTCCTGCTGCATCTGCTGCTGCTGCTTCTGCTGCTGCGCTGCGGCCTGTCGTGCCTCCACTGCCCCTAGGTGCTGGTGCACAGCAGCAGCAGCAGCAGCAGCAGCAGAAACAAAAGCAGCAGCAGCAGCAAATTGATGCTGGGGGCCCTTCACAGGAGACACTCTTTAGGGCCCAGCGGGCATCTTCTTTCAGCAGCAACAAGAGTGTGCTGCTTCACGATCAGCAGCAGCAGCAGCAGCAGCAGCAGCGCAGCAGGCTGCCGCCGCACCCTGTGCACAACGGGCCTGCAACAGCGTGGTTAGAAGCAGCAGAAGCAGCAAGACAGTTGCTGCGGAACATGAGGCTTCCTGCTGCAGCAGATGATCAGCAGCAGCAGCAGCAGCAACAGCAGCAGCTAGCAGGAGAGGCCCAGTACCGCCGCAGCAGCAGAAAGATTGATGAACATAGAGGAGATAGAAATCAGCAGCAGCTGCAGCAGCAAGTCCTCGCGCTCCAGCAGCAGCTGCAGCGCGAGAGGCAGCAACGGGGTGAGGAGACCGCAGCACTGCAGCAGGAAGCAGCAGCGCTTAGACAGCAGCTGCAGCAGCAGCAGCAGCAGCAGCAAGATGGAGGAGAAGGCTTCGAGGAGGAGCGACGACAACTAGCGGACCGGCTGCAGCAGCAGCAGCAGCAGATCGAGCTGCTGCAGCAGCAGCTGCGACAGCGGCAGCAGCATACAACAGCGGCAGCAGGTGACGTAGACCAGCAGCAGCAGCAGGAGCCGCTGCTGCAGCAGCTGCGGCAGCAGGTGCAGCAGCTGCAGCAGGAAGTCGCTATCAAGAGCGAACAGCTAGAGGAGAAGGAGCAGCAACTGCAGCACCAGCAGCAGCTTGTGCAGCAGCTGCAGCAGCAAGTCCAGCAGCTGCAGCAGCAGCAGCAGCAGTTGCAGCGTGAGCTGCGCGAGTCGACACAGAAGGCTGCTGCTGCAGCTGCTGCACCCAGCAGCAGCAGCAGCTTAGCTAAGTCGTTGCAGACGCTGCAGCAGGAGGTAGCTAGGATCCGCATGCAGCACGAAGCAGCACTGCAGTGTCTAGGCAGCTCTGCTGCTGCTGTCGAGCAGAGTGGAGCAGAAGCAGCCGCAGCAGCAGCAGCAGCAGCAACAGCAGCGGGGCAGCAAGCGTTCGATGATATTGGGAGCGTAATTCAAGGCATGCAGCAAGAGCAGCAGCGGCAGGAACAGCAGCAGCAACAGCAGCAGCAGCAGCAGCAGCGGTGTCTGCAGCCGCTGCAGCAGCCAGGCAGCCCCTGCAGCAGCGTTGGCTGCAGCACTCGTGTGCGATCTCGGCGCAGCAGCGTGAGCAGCAGCAGCAGCAGCAGCAGCAGCAGCAGCAGCTGCGTCTCCTCCATGTTGACGGCAGTGCAGCGCATGCAGGAGATCTACAGCAGAGCTACTGCAGCAGAAGCAGCAGCAAGACAGCAGCAGCACGGAGCAAGGCAGCTAAGCCGCAGCAGCTTCTCTTACATCTCTTCTCGCTTCAGCGCCTTCCCGCTTCTTGCTGCTGCTAACCCTAGCACCCCCGGCACACCCTCGCACCTCAGGTAGCTGCGGCTGCTGCTGCTGTTGCTGCTGCTGTTGCTGCTGCCGATGTCGCTGTTGCTGTTGATGCTGCTGATCTCGCTGTTGCTGCTGATGTCGCTTTTGCTGCTGCTGCAGCTGTTGCTGCTGATGTCGCTGTTGCTGCTGTTGCTGCTGCTTTGCTGTGTTGCGGCGGCGGCGGGTCGGGGTGCTTGTGTTCGTGCTGCTTTGCTATTGGTGCTGCTGCGCTCAATACTGCTGTTGCTGCTGCTGCTGTTGCTGCTGTTGCTGCTGCTGCTGTTGCATGCGGTTAATGATGAGTTTATTTGCTGCTGCTGTTGCTGCTGCTGTTGCTGCAGTGTTGCTTCACTGCCAGTCAACGCCCAAACGCCTCCCAGCCGCATGTGGAACAGCGCACTCCCTTTGATGCAGCAGCAGCAGCAGCAGCAGCCGCTGCAGCCGCAGCAGCCGCAGCAGCCGCAGCAGCAGCCAGGCTCACAGCAGCAAGAGCAGCAGCACGGAGAGGAGCAGCAGCAGCTCTTTGAGGGCCTCCATTCTACTCAAGTCCTCGCCTCTAGTGATGTGCCTAGAGACTTCGTGCAGCAAAAGGAGCAGCAGCAGCAGCAGCAGCCGCAGCAGCAACAGCAGCCGCAGCCGCAGCAGCAAACCAGTTCTAGCGTCTTCGCTCTGCAGCGGCCGCAGCAGACCCCAACAACAACAGCAGCAACAGAGGGCCCTTTGGGTTTCTGCAGCAGCAGTGCTTCGCCAACGGCTTTCCCCCAGCAGCAGCAGCAGCAGCAGCAGCAGCAGCAGCAGCAGCAGCACGAGCTGCAGCAGCAGCAGCAGCAGGATCCGCTGCAGCCATTTGTATGGGAGCGGAGATCTCCTTCTCATAGTTTCTCTGTCCCTAGCCCAAAGCAAGGCGCTGGATCTGCTGCTGTTGCTGCTGCTACTGCAGCAGCAGCAGCAGCTGCTGCTGCTGCTGGTGCCGCAATTCCTCCACCCATGCTGCTGCAGGGCCCTGAGCAGCAGCAGCAGATGCTGGGGAACTCGCTGCAGCAGCAGCTGAGACCTTCGTTTGGTCCAGGTGCTGCACTGACAGCAAGTAGGACGCTGCAGCAGCAGCACGAGCAGCAGCAGCACCAGCTGCAGCAGCAGCACCACCACCAGCTGCAGCAGCAGCAGCAGCAATATGAGCTGCAACAGCAGCAACACGACCAGCAGTCAGAGCAGCAGCACGAGCTGCAGCAACAACAACACGAACTACAACAGCAGCAGCAGCAGCACGAGCTGCAACAACAACAATACGAACTACAGCAGCAGCAGCAGCAGCAGCAGCAGCAGCACGAGCTGCAGCAGCAGCAGCACGAGTTGCAGCAGCAGCAGCAGCACGAGTTGCAGCAGCAGCAGCAGCACGAGCTGCAGCAGCAGCAGCACGAGCTGCAGCAGCAGCAGCACCAGATGCAGCAGCACGAGATGCAGCAGCAGCAAGAGGTGCAGCAAAACGAGCATCTCCAGCAGCCGCAGGAGCAGCAGCAGGAGCAGCAGCACGGTGAGCACCAGCTGCTGCATCACGAGCAAGATGAGCAGCAGCAACAGCAGCAGCAGCAGTCTCCAGGTCTGTTGGAGCCTTTCGGCCAGCCACAGGAGCAGCAGCAACCGCAGCAAGACCAGCAGCAAGACCAGCAGCAGCAGCAGCAGCAGCAGCAGCAGTTGCAGCACAGCCTAGACAGACGCAGCGACATGGCTTACCTCTGGGCAGATGAAAGCAATAGAAACCACTGGAACATGCAGCAACAGCAGCAGCAGCAGCAGCAGCAGCAGCACGAGATGCAGCAGCAGCAGCAGCAGCTGCAGCAGCAGCAGCTACAGCAGCAGCTGCAGGACAGTAGGCGCAGCAGCGCGCGCACCATTGATGATTTCTTCGCTTGAGTATTAAGCGATAGATTTAAATAATATTAATAAATATAAATAAATATAAATATATATAAATATATATAAATATATATAAATATATATTAATAAATAAACATTAACTAACTACACTTCATAATAATTATTTATTAATTTATTTATATTATTATTTAATTTATATTTATTTTCATGAAGGCATACACTCAAATAAAAACATATATAAATATATAATTATGTATATTTATATATAATATATATGTATATATATATATGTATGTATGTATATATATACATATATATATATGTATATATATATGTATATATATATATATATACATATATATATATATATTTGTCTATAAGTATATATATAATATATATATATTTATATATTTATATATTTACGCAAACTAGATCAAGTCAATATAGACAATAGATTAAATAAATATTTGTGTATATCTTTATATTATATACACTGTATATA